CCCATCCCCACTGACATAGCCCCTGGATCCACACTGCACGCCTTGCTTTTCTGTACTAAAGCAGACTGTTTCCTCAGCATCCGGACGAAGGCCGGGGAGAAGCTCTCCCCCTCCTTTTCCTAAGATGCACGCACCCGCTGGTGGCTTCACCCCATGTCACCTGGGCCCTGCCCCCGGGCTCACCACGCCTCCGTTGCGCTTGGCCAGCACCACTGTGCGGTCGGGGTCCCGGAGCCAGCTGTGGTAGCGGCTGGGAAGGTAGTCCAGGCCGCCGTAGATGCCCCCCGAGATGGCCATCACCTCCTCAAACTCCCGTTCCGTGGCCACCACGAAGTCCAATGGCTCGGCCTCAGCCTCAGGCCCCGATCCCGACCTAGGCTCGGCCCCCGACAACTCTGCCTTGGCCTCAGGCCCTGACTCGGCACCCAGGGACTCAGCCTCAGCCTCAGGCCCCGATCCGGACCTGGGCTTGGCCGCCACCTCCTGTGGCCGGGTTTCGGAGCTTGGCTCTGCATCTCCGGCAGCCTCCTTTTCCGGCTTGGGGACCTCTGAGGTGGCTGTACTACAGCTGGCTTCCAGCTTCATGACCCTGCAGAAAAAAGAAAATTCAGCACCTGGATAGAGCCCTTTGTTTCCACATCTGGGCCCCTGCAGGCAAACGGTCCCAATGCCCCTTTCTATAGAAACACCCACCCCCCTTTTAGTTATTTATTTTTTTGAGAGGGAGTCTCATTCTGTTGCCCAAGCTGGAGTGTAGTGGTGCAATCTCAGCTCACTGCAACCTCTGCCTCCCAGGTTCAAGTGATTCTCCTGCCTCAGCCTCCCGAGTTGCTGGGACTACAGGCACATGCCACCATACCCAGCTAATTTTTGTATTTTTAGTAGAGACCATGTTGGCCAGGCTGGTCTCGAACTCCTGACTTCAGGTGATCCTCCCACCTCAACCTCCCAAAGTGCTGCGATTACAGGCGTGAGCCATCACATTGGCCCCTTTCTTCCTTTCTTCTTCTTCTTCTCATTTTTTAATACAGATAGGAATCTCACTATGTTACCCAGACTGGTCTTGAAATCCTGGGTTCAAGCGATCCTCCTACCTCAGCCTCCCAAAGTGCTGGAACTACAAGTGTGAGTCACTGTACCTGCCCCACAAACACCCTTTCTTTTCTGCTGTCACACAGACCGTGAGTGTGAAGGGTTCCCAGCTCCCTTCCTCTTCCCACCAGCTCTCAGAAAGCCCAGCTCTACCCACTCCACTCATACTGGATGCTCCCTAACAATCAGAAACGCAGAACCCTGTGAGCTCCCCATACACCAGCCCCAGATATCCTCCAGGCCCAGCCAGCAACCAGGGCCCCAGGAAACAGAAAGAAGGCACTTGGGGGTAGTTAAAAAAAAAAAAAAAAAGGAAGGCTGGAGCACGGAGGCTCATGCCTTTACTCCCAGCACTTTGGGAGGCCGAGGCAGGTGGATTGGTTGAGTCCTGTATTTAAGAACAGCCTGGACAACATAGTGAGACCCTATCTCTACAAAAAATTAGCTGGGCATGGTGGTGTGGTGGGCCTGTAGTTTCAGCTACTCTGGAGGCTGAGGTGGGAGGATCGTTGGAGCCAAAGAGGTGAAGGTTGCTGTGAGCCGTGATCACACCACAGCACACCAGCCTGGGTGACAGAGAGCCTGTCTCAAAAAATAAATAAATAAAAATAAAGACACACCCCTTCAAGGATCCCATCACCTCTCTAAGACCTCTACAAGAACAACACGAGAAACTTCCACCATCACCCCTCTGCCCACAAGAGGGTTCCCAGAGAAGAGTGGAGGAATCACCTCCACTCCATTTCCTGCCACTGCCAGCTACAGTCTCAGGGCAAAGGGAGGAGGGTGTAGACCCCAAATCTCCTCCATTTGCTGCCCTAGTTCCCTATCCCCCCACCTCCACCTCTTGGCACACACATCAAAATATAAGCAAGTTACACAGCTCCACTAGAAAAATGTCAAGCCCTTGTTCTCTAGGGAAAGAACCAACAAAAACAGAAAATGTCAAGCCAGTCTGACGCAGTGGCTCAGCCAAGGCGGGTAGTTCACCTGAGGTCAGGAGATCGAGACCAGCCTAGCCAGCGTGATGAAACTCCATCTACCAGAAATACAAAAATTAGCTCAGCATGGTGGTGGACACCTGTAATCCCAGCTATTAGGGAGGTTGAAGCACAAGTGAGGCTCCATCTCACTTGAACCTGGGAGGTGGAGGTTGCAGCAAGCTGAGGTTGAGCCACTGCACTCCAGCCTGGGCAACAGAGTGAGACTCTGTCTCAAGAAAAAAAAAAAAAAAAAACCCTCCACTCCCTCCCTTCCTCCCTTCTTTCCTTTCCTCTCTTTCTCTTCCTGTTTCCTTTTTCTTGCTGATTTTATGCAAAGGGCTAGCATTCTCATCGCTCTTTTTTCAGGTTTAATCCTTATTTTAATAAAGTTTTCAAGCAAAAAAAAGAAAGAAAGAAAGAAAAAATGTTAAGCCGTTACTTCTAAGCCAATCAACCCCTCCTTTCCTTCCTTCTGCCCCTCTTCCCCATAGGGAGATTTGGGCTCTGTCCACTCAGGGACTAGGAACTGTTTTTAAAGGGCTCTGTCAGAGCGCCACCAAAATAAAATGGAAAGCCCCCTATCCAAGTCCCAGTGACTTCTATTTCTAGGCCTGTCTCTTCCAGACCAGCCAAACCAACCAGTCAAATTCCCCCTCTCTCTTTCAACCAATTATGATGCTCACCTCAGATAACCTACATTAAGCCTCATTAGCCAACATCCCAAGGGCACACAGACCAGCTACTCTGTGGGGGTGATATTGACTTGGCTGGTCTTTTATTTATTTATTTATTTATTTGACCTAGGTTTGGGGAAGTTTGACCAGCAGTGGCACTGAGGAGTGGTTTGCCCTCCCAAGCCGGAAACAGAGCTTTCCCATACAAACCAAGCTTCAAAACAAGAGTTCCATCTCCCTCTTTCTTTTCTGTTCTTTCTCATCTGATTCCACCTGGAGATTTCCTGGGTATGGAGCCAGCATTATCAGAGGAGAGGAGGAAGCCAAGCTCAGAGGACTTAGAGACCCTGATGGGGCCATTAGAGACCATCAGGTTCAACCCATTCTTTTCACAATCAAGGAGATTAAGAGCCTTGCCCGAGGTGAATCAGCTCGGGCAGAGCCAGGCTAAAAGTTAAGTTTCCTGGGCTTCCAGGCCAGGGGGCAGATCTCTTATTACTGTTGTTGTTTGTTTATTTAATTTTATTCTTTTGAGACAAGCTCTTGCTTTATCGCCCAGGCTGGAGTGCGCTGGCACCATCACCGCTCACTGCAGCCTCAACCTCCTGGGCTCAAGCAATCCTTCCCCCTCAGCTTCCCATGTAGCTGGGACTACAGGCAGGTGCCACCACACCTAGCTAATTTTTAAAATGTTTAATTTTTTGTAGAGATGGGGTCCCACTATGTTGCCCAAGCTGGTCTTGAACTCCTGGGCTCAAGCGATCCTCCTGCCTCCAGTTCCTAAAATGCTGGACTGTTAGGTGTGAGTCACCATGCCCAGCCAAGATCTCTTTTTAGTGTATCTGGATCTCTGAACCCAGCCTGAAGAGCAAGGAGAGGAGCTACTGGGTCCTTGAACAGGAGTTGAAGGGTCCAGGTGGGCTAAGCTTAAGAAGAAGCAGAGATGGGGCTGCTGGGAACTCCCCAACTGTCTGACCCACACTGTAAGCAATCCCTCTGGTACCACACAAACCTCCATTCTTGGGACCAGCCCAAGCCCCAGACCTCTTGCACCACACTCTGGTGACAATGGGTCCCAAAGAAGAGCAAGTTAGCTCTTGACTCCATCTGCAGCTCCAGGCAACATGGACCAGCTGTTCCTGGGAAATTCAGTGGTGCCTCCAGCAATAGCCTCACAGCCCAAAACGGTGATGAGGTATGACAGCCGGCAGACTGAAACCCACCTGACTCACTCAAGACATTCAGCTCCAGTTTCCTTCCCTTGCTTACAGGAAGGGAGGCCCTTTCCAAATGGTATTTCTACATCTCAGATAAGGTTGCTTGTGGTGGGAGGCAGGGGTAGGGGCGGACGTGGGGAGTTCCCGGCGTCATGGAAAAGGAAGAGCTTCCCAACACATCCCTCATCTTTCCACCTAGGTGCAACCTCTAGCCCTGTTCCCTTTTTGGGAACATGAACAAAGGTTCCCAGGTTCTCAAACCTTGGAGGAGGTAATAAAACAGGTCAGGGATTCCAGGCCAAGCCAAAGCTGTGGGCTGGCCCTGTAACGCTTGCTTCACATGCTGACTAGTTCCTGCTCTCCAGTCCAGCACCTTCCAGACTGGCTCCTTGGCTGTCTAGGCAAAGGCCGAGGCAGCTGGTGCCTCCAAGGCATTGTGGGAGGTGCAGTCCAGATATCTCCTGGACCAAGCTCCCTTCCTAAAGAGAAACAATATTTCTTGGCCAGGCATGGTGGCTCATGCCTGTAATCCCAGCACTTTGGGAGGCAGAGGCAGGTGGATCACATGACATCGGGAGTTCAAGACCAGCCTAACATTGTGAAACCTCTTCTCTACTACACACACACACACACTTAGCCGGGCGTGGTGGCAGGCACCTGTAATCCCAGCTACTCAGGAGGCTGAGGCAGGAGAACTGCTTGAATCCTGGAGGTGGAGGCTGGGGTGAGCAGAGATGGTGCCACTGCACTCCAGCCTGGGCAACAAGAGCGAAATTCTGTCAAAAAAAAAAAAAAAGGGACAGCATTTCTCTCTCCATCCCTATCTCCATATCCTTGGGGACCTTCTTGAAATCTCATAAATATGAATGATTGCTTTGGGGGGGGGATTGGAGTCATAGCTGGGCATGCTGGGAGCCCACCCGCTTGCACCCCACTCCCACCGCACCCCACACACCTGAAATGTCGCTGCCCTTGAGACCGATGGCTTCTTGACACTGGGGAGGGAGGAGTGGGAGGGAAGGGGGAGCCCAGTCGCGGGAGAGGCGGAGACAAAGAAGGCAGCTGCACAAAGCGCCCGAAGATGAGAGCGAAAAGGACGGGAATGGAGGCAGAGAGCAGACAAAAGCAGACAGGAGGTGCGGCCGCAGGGGATGGGCAGGGAGGCGGGAGGAGGCTCCGAGACGGAATCACAGATATGACACCTCGTGATTCCGGGACCTGCAGATGCCAACAACAAAAACAACTCTAGCACGCACCCCCTCCCCTGGGACACCATAAATAGAAAGGAGCGTGACACACCCCCTTCGCCCCAAGGTTTGGGGGCGGGGAGCCGGGGAGAGGAAGGGGTCAAGGGGAAAAGAAAGTCAGAAAAAAGGCTGGAAGAGAACAATCCTGGAAACCGAGATAGGGGAGAGGCGATAAAGTGGGGGCGGGAGGGAAGGCCTGGGGGTGGGCAGAGGCAGGGCCGAGGAAGAGGGCCCAGCGAAAGAGGGGAACGTTCCCAGAGGTGTCCACAGTTGTGGAGGAGGGGGCCTGTCCTGCAGGTCTTCCCGAGTGAGGGTCTTCCCTCTGTCCCTATCCCGGAGTGGGGGCTAGGGCTTGGGCGAGAGGGAGATTGCAAAGGGAGCGGTCTGCTTGGCGGGGTTTCCCCTGGGCACGGGACCCTGGGGACAGGTGGGAGCAACAAAGCAACAGACGGGGGCGGGGGAGCGCTTCTGGACACCTGAAGCGCAGCCTCTGATTCAGTTTTCTGGGTCACCAGACTGGAAGGAGCTGGGCAGAAGGGGGCGCAGCCGCTTGGTCCCACTGGGGGGCAGTGGCCTTCTGCTGCCCTATTCCGCGGCGGAGGAGCACGCTAGCCCCCTCCGAAGTCCCCAGGCCCGGCCGCCCCCCTACCTCGCCGGAGCCGGAGCCCGAGCCAGGATCGAGATGTTGCGAAGCCAAGCGGGGCAGGTGGCCGGCGCAGACATCCCCGGTGCCAAGAGAGGGGTCTCTTTGGAGCCCCCAAGAGTCAAAGGAGGATGACGTGCGGGGACCCGGCCGCGCCGTCGGAGCCCGACTCAAACTTCGAAGGTCAGCGCTGGGGCTACGCCGCAGATCCGTTGGCGACGTGGGCCGGGGCACCGAGAGGGTCGGGGGTTCGGGTGGCGCGCGTGGCTCCCTCGGCGAGGCTCCAGCGGCAGCTTCGAGGGGCGGAGACCCCGGCGATGCGGGAGAAACCCGGGACGGATCCGGAGCGGACTCGTGCCCTGTTGGCGGGGCCTGGGGTCCGGGTGCGCCCTGGGCAGCTGGGTGGCCTCGAGCCCCGCTGGCGAGACTTGAGACTCCACCCCGTGTCCCGGCTGGGGTGTGGGACTGGGAATGGGGGTGTCTCGGGTTTTGGTGGTGATGCTGGAATTGCTGACTTAGTTACCTCCCCACCCCACGCCCAGCACCTCTGTTCTCTGTTGGGGGGTGTCCCCCACTGCCCCGAAGTCCCCCTCCTCCAGGAGCCACCCCTCAATGGAATCTCCTCTCTCCACAGTAAGAGCGTCTGGAAAGATGACTCCTAGCCTTCCACCACGGAAACCGATAGAGAGAATCAGAAGCCCTAGAACACCAGGAAGGCGAAGAGACATCAAGGGACAGAATTTGAGAGACTGAAAGGTGAAGAGCAGGCCAAGACCTCTGCATCTTCTCACCAATGCTTGGGTGCCCCGGGTGCGTAAGGCGTCCTCAGTCCACACTACGTGGGGGACAGCAGGCAGAAAGACTTCCAGGTACACAGGGCACACCCAGGCACATTCACACAGACCTCTGCACGCAGGAGGCTCTGCACCCCACGCTGATCCTGGTGGGTGGGGAGGAGGAGGGAAGTATGGAGCTGTGACCCGGTTGGATGCAGCGCTGCCCCTGGCTCCAATAAGCTGGTGGCCCAGGCTCTTAACTCCTACAAGGTTCTCCATCCCAGCCTTAACTCCTACAAGGATCTCACTTCAGTGAGATCAAGGCCCGGAGCGGTGACTCACGCCTATAGTCCCAGCATTTTGGGAGGCCGAGGTAAGCGGATCACCTGAGGAGAGAGTGCAAGACCAGCCTGGCCAACATGGTGAAACCACGATTCTACTAAAAATAGAAAAATCAGGCGGGGACAGTGGTGTGTGCCTATAATCCCAGCTACTGGGAAGGCTGAGGCAGGAGAATCTCTTGCACTCGGGAGGCCGAGGTTACTGTGAGCTGAGATCACACCACTGCACTCTAGCCTGGGGGACAGAGCAAGACTCTGTCTCAAAAAAATAAAAATAACTAGACGAGGTGGGGCATGCCTGTAATCCCAGCTCCTCGGGAGACTGAGGCAGGAGAATGTCTTGAACCCAGGAGGCGGAGGTTGCAGTGAGCTGAGATTGTGCCACTGCACTCCAGCTTGGGCGGCAGAGCGAGACTCCATCTAAAAAAATAAATAAATAAAATAAAAAATAAGCAAATAAAGTGAGATCAGAACACCGTCAGTTCTACCCTGTAAGGAACCGGGAAAGCGATGGACAACTGTAAACTGCTTTGGAGATGCAGTGAGTAATGTTAAGGACTCTTGAGTTCTGCTGGAGTCCTCTCCCCAGGAGCAACCCAGCTCTCATGCCTCGCTCTCCCACCGCGAAAGTCATCGTTCACCCATCTTATCCCATTTTTTTCTCTCTTTTTTTTTTTTTAACCTTCCGAGGTTATAACTTCATCACCAGGCAAACTGATGCCATTGGGTGTGCCAACGTAATGAGAAGGAAGATCACGTTCCTGGAATCCCACAGACAGGAATTCCAACCGAGGGTTAAAGGGCCAAACAGGAGTAACACCAAGGGTTAAAGGAATGAAAATCAGGACTTCTAGGCTGAGGTAGGCCGAAATGCAACCGAAAAATCATTCAACATTTTTTTAAAATTTTATTTATTTATTTATTTATTTTCTGAGACTGAGTTTCGCTCTTACCCAGGCTGGAGTGCAATGGCGCGATCTCGGCTCACCACAACCTCCGCCTCCTGGGTTCAGGCAATTCTCCTGCCTCAGCCTCCTGAGTAGCTGGGATTACAGGCACACGCCACCATGCCCAGCTACTTTATTGTATTTTTAGTAGAGACGGGATTTCACCATGTTGACCAGGATGGTCTTGATCTCTTGACCTCGTGATCCACCCGCCTCGGCCTCCCAAAGTGCTGGGATTACAGTCTTGAGCCACCGCGCCCGGCCTCAACATTTTTAAAATAGGACTTGCCTTCATTTCTGATTTCTGAAAGTGCTAACATACTGGGCATCTCACCAAACTGCAGATTGCAGTTAAGGTGCCACGTGCTTCACGATGGGAAAACACTTAAAAAGCTACAAGTTTCGAGGAAAAATCACCAGTGGCCAAGGGGAGAGGCCATCATATGTTAATCCCGCCCCTTTCACCAGAAGCCACACCTTCCACCAACAGAAACTCTTGAATTGGTCTAACACCCACACATTTCCAGGTTCATCAGCCAATCAAAATTAAAAGTTTCCCAACGCTTCGGCCCCTCCTTATGTCCAAGCCACTCAGAAGCAAGATGTCACTGTAAGTCCCGCCTCCAGACCGCTCACTGGGCCAATGGAATGCCATCTTGTTCCAGGCTTCATTCTCAGACATCTAGGAGAGCCGGCTTCCCTCCCAGCTTCCTAAGTGCTCAGAGGATGCAGAGAGGCGGCCTATTCTGGGGTGGAGGAGAAATCTGGCTGAGAGGAGAGAGAGAGCCCTGGCTTGGCTGGCCTGGGTTCCAGGACTACCCTCTACCCAGTAGTGGTGGTGATGTGGTGTGAACCATTGAACTACCCGATGTTTACTAAAAGCACCATAGCTTAATCTCCATAACGCTGTAGGGGAGGTGTGATTGTTTACTTATTTTACAGAAAAGCAAAGTAGATTCTGAGAAAGCTATGGACTAGATCTCAGAATTTTTTTTTTTTTGAGATCGAGTCTCACTCTGTCACCCACGATCTTGGCTCACTGCAGCCTCCGCCTCCGGGGTTCAAGTGGTTGCCCTGCCTCAGCCTCCCGAGTAGCTGCACCACCACACCCAGCTAATTTTTGTATTTTTAGTAGAGACGGGGTTTCACTATGATGGCCAGTCTGGTCTCGAACTCCTGACCTCAAGTGAGCCGCCTGTCTCAGGCTTATAGTGCCAATACTTTGGGAGGCCAAAGCAGGAGGGTCTCTTGAAGCCAGGAGTTTGGAACGAGTCTGGGCAACATAATGAGAACTTGTCTCTACCAAAAATAAAAAAAAATTAGCCAGACATGGTGATGTGCACCTGTGGTCCCAGCTACTCCGGAGGCTGAGACAGGAGGATCGCTAGAGCCCAGGAGTTCAAAGTTGCAATGAACTCTGATGGTGCCACTGTGCTGTAGCCTGGGTAACAGAGCGAGACTCTCTCTCTCTCTCTCTCTCTTTCCCTCTCTTTCTCCCTATTTATATACATATGTGTGTATATATATACATATGTATATATATACACATGTATGTGTATGTGTATATATACATATATACACATGTATATCTATATGTATATATGTGTATATGTGTGTATACATATATATAAATTTAAAAAATATATATATATATATAGAGAGAGATACAGCACGAATAAAGCACCAATCAAGTGTCAGTGCCATTAATACTGGAGATAGGCCCAGCACGGTGGCTCGCGCCTGTAATCCCAGCATATTTTGGGAGACCGAGGTGGGCAGATCACTTGAGATCAGGAGATCGAGACCAGCCTGGCCAACATGGTGAAACCCTGTCTCTACTAAAAATACAAAAAGTAGCCAGACGTGGTGGCACGTGCCTGTAATCACAGCTACTCTGGAGGCTGAGGCAGGAGAATCACTTGAACCGGAAGGTGGAGGTTGCAGTGAGCCAAGATGGTGCCACTGCCCTCCAGTCTGGATGACAGAGCGAGACTCGGTCTTAAAAAACAAAAAACAAATTTTTTAAGAGACAGGATCTTATCTCTTTCGCCTAGGCTGGAATGCAGTGGCACAATCATAGCTCGCTGCAACCTTGAACTCCTGGGCTCAAGCAATCCTCCTGCCTCAGCCTCCTAAGTAGCTGGGACTACAGGCACATGTCGCCACACCCAGCTAATTATTGTATTTGTTTGTAGAGGCAGAGTCTTGCTATGTTGCCCAGGCTGGTCTTGAACTCCTGGCCTCAAACCATCCTCCTGCGTTGACCTCCCAAAGTACTGGGATTACAGACATGAGCCACCTTGCCAGGCCATAATAAGACACATTGAACCTTCATACTCATCAAGCTGAAAGCCTTGGCATCTCAGGATTCTGGTGACCAAGACTTCCTCCTCTGGATTTTTCCTTTTGAGTATTTTCCTCTTAGACCCCTCTTCTCGCTGTCCCACTGCGAAACCAGTGCCAAGTCTTCTGCCATTCCCTTAATCACGCCCCATCCAGTGAATTGTCCACAGTTCTCTGATCTACGAATCAAGTCTTGACCTTCCAGGTTGTTTCCAGCTATTTATGGAACATCTGTGCGGTGATGAGAGCAGCAAAATAAAATCTATGAATGCTTTACAGGAAATGGCCTTGACGCCTCATATGCTTTTTCTTTTATTAAAAATTTTGTTTTGCAGACACAGGGTCTTGGTATGTTGCCCAGGCTGGTCTCAAACCCCTGGTTTCAAGTGATCCTCCCACCCTGGCATCCGGAAGTGCTGGGGTTACAGGCATGAGCCACTGTGTCTTGCCAACACCTTGTATGCTTTACAACCTTCGCAGTCAGCTACTTTTGCAGACAAAGGAGGGAGACCAGAGATGAAAGGTTTATGTAATTGACTCCAAGTCACAGAGCCAGTGAGTGCCTAAAAGGCTTACTCAGAATGATAGACTAAAAGGAATCATCTAGATCATCCCACAAGGCAGATATCAGAGATGCCATACGCTCCTGGTGAGTCATGAAGTCACGGCTTTCTCAGCCTCACATAGCACCCAACTTCCAGTAAGGATCAAATCAGATAATGTGTGTAAAGTGCCTGGCACAGCGTTTCTGGCACAACATTTCCACTGACGGTAGGTATTATTATCCAGCCAACCGGAGCAGCAGTTCTGGGACGGCGTGTATCACAGCCTGTCCCTTGGAATTCACGCATAACTGAAGCCTCTTGCTTACTTTGCAGTCAGGGCTGTCAGGATTCTAGGAACATCCACAGGAGCTTCAGGAATCAGGCAAGAGAAAGAGGGAAAATCACTACGTGTGGCCATGAACTGGTTTCTGGTTTGTTTTTTGAGACGGAGTCTCGCTCTGTCACCCAGGCTGGAGTGCAATGGGCGAGCTTGGCTCACTGCGACCAGTGGCTCAAGCAATTCTCCCGCCTCAGCCTCCTGAGTAGCTGGAATTACAGGCATGCGCCACCACACCCAGCTAATATTTGTATTTTTAGTACAGACAGGGTTTCACCATGTTGGCCAGGCTGGTCTTGACTCCTGACCTCGTGATCCGCCCACCTCAGCCTCCCGAAGTGCTGGGATTACAGGCGGTGGGTACCTGGCTGAACTGTTTTATTTGACCTTGGGTGTCAGGGTCTTGCTCTGTTGCCCAGGCTGGAATGCAGTGGCACAAACACTGCTCACTGCAACCTCAAACTCCTGGGCTCAAGCCATCCTCCCGTCTCAGCCTCCTGAGTAGTTGGCATAACAGGTGCACACCACCTCGCCAAGCAAATTTTTGTTTCTTCTGTCTGATGAGACCCAAAGAAATTTTTTTTGTAGAGACAGTCTCACCATGTTGCCCAGACTTGTCTTGAACTCCTGGGCTCAAGTGATCCTCCCGCCTCAGCCTCCCAAAGTGCTGGGATTACAGGTGTGAGCCATTGCACCCGGCTATAAACTATTTTTTATTAATTTATTTTTTGAACAGAGTTTCACTCTTGTCACCCAGGCTGGAGTGCAATGGTGTGATCTTGACTCACTGCAACCTCCGTCTCCTGGGTTCAAGCAATTCTCCTGCCTCACCCTCCCAAGTAGCTGGAATTACAGACATACACCACCACACCTGGCTAATTTTCTGTTTTTTTTTTTTTTTTGTAGAGAAGGGGTGTCACCATGTTACCCAAACTGGTCTTGAACTCCTGGGCTCAAGTGATCCTCCCGCCTCGGCCTCCCAAAGTGCTGGGTTTACAGGTGTGAGTCACTGTGCTTGGCCTCACTATTGTCATCTTCTATGGGCCTGGTTAATTCCACTTCTTCTCACAAGTAACTCACTTTAGTTATCTATTAAAAATACACTTTTAGGCTGGGCGTGGTGGCTCACACCTGTAATCCCAGCATTTTGGGAGGCTGAGGCGGGAGGAGAGCCCAGGAGTGAGAGACCAGACTGGGCAACATAGTGAGACCCTGTCTCCACAAAAAGTTTTAAAAATTAACCAGGCGTGGTGGTCCACACATGCAGTCCCAGCGACGCAGGAGGCTGATGTGGGAGGATCACTTGAGACCAGGAAGTCAAGGCTGCAACGAGCTCTGATTGTGCCACTGCATATGCCAGCCTGAGTGACAGAGCAAGATCCTATCTTAAAAAACAAAGACGGAACGTGGTGAAACCCCGTCTCCACTAAAAATACAAAAAATGAGCTGGGCGTGGTGGCGCGTGCCTGTAATCCCAGCTACTCAGGAGGCTGAGGCAGGAGAATTGCCTGAACCCAGGAGGCGGAGGTTGCGGTGAGCCGAGATTTCGCCATTGCACTCCCGCCTGGGCAACAAGAGCGAAACTCTGTCTCAAAAAAAACCAAAAAAACAAAAAACAAAACAAAACCTTTTTATCTGAAGAATATTTAACATATCCAAAAGCAGGGAGAATACGTATTACTTTGTATATAATGAATATATATAATTTTAGCCTGGTGTGGTGGTGCACGTCTGTCTATAATCCCAGCTACTTGGGAGGCTGAGGCAGGAGAATCACTTTAACCCGGGAGGCAGAGGTTGCAGTGAAAATTTACAGAACAATCTCATTTCTTCCACAAATAAATTGTAAGGAGAGAGAGAGAGAGATGGAGGGAAAACCTACAGATTGAAAGAAAATTAAGACCAGGTGCAGTGGCTCACACCTGTAATCCAGCACTTTGGGAGGCTGAGGCAGGCGGGTCACTTGAGATCAGGAGTTCCAGACCAGTCTGGCCAATATAGTGAAACCCATCTCTACTAAAATTACAAAAATTAGCTGGACATGTGGCACGGACTTGTAATCACAGGTATTCGGGAAACTGAGGCAGGAGAATTGCTTGAACTTGGGAAATGGAGGTTGCAGTGAGCTGAGATGCACCATTGCACTCCAACCTGGGTGACAGAGTGAGATTCAGTGAAAAGAGAGAAAGAAAGGAAAAAAGAAAAAAGGAAGGAAGGAAAGAAGGGAGGGAGGGAGGGAGGGAGGGAGGGATGGGAGGGGAAGGGAAAGGAGGGAAGGAGGGAAGGGAGGGACGGCGGGACGGGAGGCGAGGGGACGGAAGGCGGACGGGAGGGGGGCGGGAAAGGAGGGAAGGGGAAGGGAGGGGAAGGGAAAGGAGGGAGGGAGGGAGAAAAGGAGGGAGGGAGGGATGGGAGGGGAGGGAAAGGAGGAAGGGAGGAATGGAGGGGAGGGGAGGGGAGGGGAAGGGAGAGAGGGAGGGAAAGGAGGGGAGGGGAAGGGAGGGAAGAAAGAGGGGGAGGAAGGAAGGAAAAGGAAAAAGAAAGGAAAGGAAAAGAAAAAAAAAAAGACTCCTGTAGCCAAATGTGTGGGTTTTCCCCCCACACACCAAGCAGGCAATCAGTTCTGCAGCTGGGTGTCTTTCAACCCAGTTCAATCTGGACACTACCTGGAGGTAGTGACAGATCCCACAGGTGGAGGCTCAGTCCCACAAGACTGCCCCCCACCACCAACGCCACTCACAAGCCTCAGGTTATTCTACCTGCACTCTGACTGACTGGCTACATACTGGGTGTCCCACAACCCCCTGATGATGGGTTCCATTAATTTGCTAGAGCAGCTCACAGAACTCAGGAAATAACTCACTTATATTCACCTATTTATTACAAAGGATATTACAGGGTACAGATGGGCCAGGTGTGGTGACTCGTGCCTGTAATCTCAGCACTTTGGGAGGCTGCGGTGGGAGGACTGCTTGAGGCCAGGAGTTCCAGACCAGCCTGGGCAAGATAGCAAGACCCCCATCTCTAGAAAGAAAGAAATTAAAATAATAATTTTAAAAGATACAGATTGGCCAGAGGCAGTGGCTCCAGCAACCCTAGCACTTTGGGAGGCCAAGGAGGAACGATTACTTGAGCTCAGGGGTTCGAGCCCAGTTTGTTCAACATGGTGAAACCGTGTCTCGGCCAGGAGTGGTGGCTCACGCCTGTAATCCCAGCACTTTAAGAGGCTGAGGCGGGTGCATCACCTGAGGTCATGAGTTCGAGACCAGCCTGGACAACATGGAGAAACCCTGTCTCTATTAAAAATACTAAAAAATTAAGACCCCCCCCAAAAAAGTTAGCTGGCGTTGTGGCAGTCGCCTGTAATCCCAGCTACTCGGGAGGCTGAGGCAAGAGAATTGCTTAAACCCAAGAGTCGGAGGTTGCAGTGAGCCAAAATTGCACCATTGCACTCCAGCCTGGTCGGCAGAGCAGGACTCCATCTCAAAAGCAAACAAGCAAACAAACAAACAAATTATCCAGGCATGGTGGTGCGAGCCTGTAGTCCCAGCCACTTGAGAGGCTGAAGCAGGAGGATCACTTGGGTGGGGGAGGCAGAGGTTGCAGTGAGCTGTGATGGCGCCACTGCACTCCAGCCTGAGCAACAGAGAGCCCGTCTGAAAAACAAAAGCAAACAAACAAACAGAGCTGGGCTCGTGCCTGTAGTCCCAACCCTTTGAGAGGCCAAGGCAGGCAGATCACTTGAGGCCAGGAGTTCGAGACCAACCTGGCCAACATGGCCAAACGCTATCTCTATTAAAAATACAAAAATTGGCCGGGTGAGGTAACGCACACCTGTAATCCCAGCACTTTCGGTGGCCAAGGCAGTTCACAAGATCAGGAGCTCAAAACCAGCCTGGCTAAGATAGAGAAACCTGTCTCTACTAAAAATACAAAATTTAGCCTGGCATGGTGGCAGATGCCTGTAATCCCAGCTACTTGTGAGGGTGGGGGGGCTGAGGCAGAGATTTGCTTGAACCCAGGAGGCGGAGGTTGCAATGAGCTGAGATCGTGCCACTGCATTCCAGCCTGGGTCACACAGCGAGACTCCATCTCAAACAAACAAACAAACAAAAACCAAAAATTAACCAGGCATGGTGGTGGACACCTGTAATCCCAGCATACTTGGGAGGCTGAGGTGGGAGGATTGCTTGAACCGGGGAAGCGGAGGCTGCATTCCAGACTGGGTGACAGAATGAGACCCTGTCTTAGAAGGAAAAAAAAACTATACAGATGAAGACATGCCTAGGGTGAGGCATGGGAGTGGGGTTTGGAACTCTCTGTCCTCCCAGAGTGCACCACTCTGCCAGAACCGCCACACGTTCACCTCCAAACCCAGTCCTCTCGGGCCTTTTACAGA